CCGCCCTGACCTTGTTCCCAGGAGTAGCCAGCAGAGAGTGGAGGACCTGCTGTCCACCAGTAAATGGGCTCACCTACCAGACAGACCGGCCCACAGCCAAGCCAGGCTAAAGCTGAAACCGCTACCCTGACCTTTTTTTTGGATATATGTATTTTTTGTTTTGAATTTTTGAGTTATGTTACAATTTCAAATAGACTGGGATTTCCCCCCAAACTCCTACCCCCAACAGATTTTCTCCATTTTATTACAGTGGTATAATCCTTCATAAGGAATTATAATTCCATCAGTCTCTTATTTAAGTGTACATTGTTGGTACAAAGTCAGACAGTCCAGCATCCCATTGTCTACACTTGTCCAACAGTTTCACTGGGAATCCATCTTTCTTCTGGAAGCAGGGATGTATGGTGCATTATACCCCCACATCTGGATATGGTATACCCAAATACTCCATCATTATACATTTCCATATTTGAGAAGTCATGAAACAAGGTCAACAACTGGTATCAATTAGAACAACAGTCTCAACAACAACAAATTACAGCACCATGAAAAAAAACACGCCACTGAGTAACCAACACATGGGTGACAAAAGGAGATACAAAAGTCTCTTGGGAAAAATGATGCCACCGTATAATCCATGAGCCAGTGATGAATTCGACAAGAATATTTGGAATAAATAAAATTGAAATAAAAAAAACCATCAAAACACATGGAATGCGGTCAAAACAAAACAAAAACAGTATGGATCAGATTATTGAATTTACACTTTCCATGCTGGTTTCCTTATATAAGAGAAAGTATAGCATTTGTTCTCTTGTATCTCTCTGATGGCTAGGGAGCCTGAGCATCTTTTCACATGTCTGTTAGCCATAAAAGAGATGAAGGATACCATATAATGATCAAGGGATTCTTTCACGATATGCACCAATTGCCAAGGCACCTAGCTACATGAAACAGACATTAATGGACTTAAAGGTAGAAACAGACTCCAATACAATCACAGTGGGTCACCTTAAATACCCCTTAACATCAGTGACCAGATCACAAAAACAGAAACTCAGCAAAGAAGCAACAGAACTCATCCAAACTTTAGAGTAAATGACTTCGTTGATATGAACCGAACCTTTCATCCCACAGATAGACAATACACTTTTTTTCATCAGTGCATGGAACCTTCTCCAGAATTGACCTTGTTATAGGCCACAAAACAAGCCTCAGCAAATTAAAAAAAAAATCGAAATTATACCATGCATCTTCTCAGACCATCATGGAGTGAAGCTACAGACCAAGAAGTCAAAACAGCCAAGAAGACTTGCAAACACATGCAGACTGAATAATATGTTACTAAATGAGCAATGGATCAGAGAGGAAATCAAAGGGGAAATTAAAAAATTACTTGAAACAAATGAAGGCATCAACACAGCATATCAAAATTTATGGGACACAATCAAGGCAATGTTAAGAGGAAAGTTCATTTCAATCAGTGTTTATGCTAAGAAATTAGAAAAGCATGAAGTAAATCAGCTAACCTTACCGTTGAAGGAACTAGACTAAGCAACAGCAAAGCAATCCCAAGATTAGTAGGAAAAAATAAATCAAAATAAGGGAGGAAATAAACCCAATAAAGACCAAGAGAACTATACATAAGATCATTCAATCAAAGAGCTGGTTCTTTGAGAAAATCAACAAAACAGATCCCCAGTAGCCCAACTAATCAAAAAAAGGAGGGAGAAAATACACATCAATAGTATCAGAGACGAGAAAGGAGATATAACAACAGATACCTCGGAAATACAAAGAATCATCAGGAACTATTACAAGCAACTACATGCGAACAAATCAGAAGACCAAGAAGAGATGGATAGATTTTTGGACACATACAATCCAAACTTGAATCAAGAAGCAATTAACAATCCAAATGGACCAATAACATGCACGGAGATTGAGTCGGTAATTAAAGCCCTCTGAACCAAAAAAAGTCCTGGACCAGATGGCTTCACTGCTGAATTCTACCAAATGTTCCAAGAGGAACTTACCCCAATCTTACACAAGCTTTTCCAAACAATAGAGAGGCAATCCTTCCAAACTCTATGAAGCTAGCATCACCTTAATACCAAAGACAGAGAAACAACAGAAAAAGAGAACTACAGACCAATATCCTCAATGAACACAGATGCAAAGATCCTCAATAAAATACTAGCCAACAGGATCCAACAGTACATCAGGCAGATCATTCACCCGGACCAGGTGGGATTCATCCCAGACACAGAGATGGTTCAACATTCAAAATCAATAAATGCAATACATCCAATCAACAAATTGAAAAGTAAAAACCATATGCTCCTCTCAATAGATGCAGAGAAGACATTTGATAAAATCTACTACCACTTCATGCTGAAAACCCTAAGCAAGACCGGTACAGAAGGAACATTCTACAACACAATCAAAGCAATTTACAAACTCAATGCCAGCATCATACTAAATGGAGAAAGATTGGAAACCTTCCCGCTAAAATCTGGACCTAGACAGGAATGTCCACTGTCACCACTATTCAGTATAGTAATGGAAGTCCTTGCCAGAGCTATTAGGCAAGAAAAAAAAAAATTAAAGCAATCCAAATTGGAAAAGAGGAAATGAAATTATCTCCATTTACAGATGACATGATTCTCTACATAGGCGAACCATAAGCCTCGGTTAAGACACTATTGGAACTAATAAGAGGCTTTGGCAGGGTAGCAGGATACAAAATTAATGAACACAAGTCGATGGCACTAGTGTACGCAAATAATTTCATGGATGAGAAAGAAATTTGAAGTACAGTCCCCAGAGAACAGGAATCTCAAATACCTAGGAATTTAACTAACTAAATATGTGGAAGACCTCTATGACAAAAACTACAAAACATTAAAAAGGGAAATAGAAGATCTTAAAAAAAATTGAGAAACTTACCTTGTTCCTGGATTGGCAGAATCAACATCATCAAAATTATGATATTACCAAAAGCAATATACAGATTCAACGCAATCCCAATCAAAATCCCAACAACATTCTTTTCAGAAATAGAAATGATACAAAAGTTCATCTGGAATCACAAAGGACCGCAAATAGCCAAAGCTATCCTGAATAGAAATCAAGCTGGAGGAATCACAATTCCAGACCTCAAGACATACTACAGAGCAGTGGTCATCAAAACAGTCTGGTACTGGTACAGAAACAGAGAAAGATCAATGGAACAGAATGGAAACACCAGAAGGGAGCCCACACATGTACAGTCAACTAATCTTGACAAGAAAGCTGAAAACAACCCAGGCAAAAATCCGGGTCTATTCAACAAATGCTGTTGGGACAACTGGATAGCAGCTTGCAGAATTAAGATGCATGACCCACACCTGTCACATTATACAAAAATCAACTCTAAATGGATCAAGGACTTAAATCTATCTATGCTCAGAAACCATCAAACTAGTAAAGCACACTCCAAGATACAGGACAGGGAAACACTTCTAAGAAAAGACCCCCTGGAAGCAGGGAGCACGTGTGAGGGCTTCTGTGCGTGCGGGCGGTTGGGGGGAGCAGGCAAGAGAGGCTTGGAAGGGGCCTAATTGGCTGCAGCCTGGTGGGGCCACGCCGCCGCCGAAGAGCCTGGGTTCCGAATCAAAGAGAGGCCGCTCAACTTGTGTTTTTGTCAATTTGCTGTGATTGCATCAGCGTGGGTCTAAGAAGGATGACTGGAGAGGCTCATTAAGAAACCCTGGTGGTTTTAAGCCGAGGAGAGCAGGGACAGGTGGGCGTTTGTGGTGGTGAGGCTGACATGCCACGTTGGGGTACCTGGTTCAGAGTTCTGGCTGTACTCGTGACCCCATCTTCCTGCCCACACATAGAGGGACAAGTGTCAGGTGATGGTGGAAGAACCTGGGCCTTGGCTACCCCGGTGGCAGAGCTGCACTGGGTCCTGGGTCCCTGGCCTTGGCCCGGCACGGCTCTGGCCTCTGTGAGCGTCTGGGGGAGCAACACGGGGGAGCCGGGCTCTTCTCCATCACACTGCCTTTCAAGTGCAGTGAACATGAATTGGAGGAACATTTTAAAGAAAGTCAGTCACTTTTGGCACAATGTATAAAGCAGCCACAAATAATATAGCCGGATATAAATATAACAGTATATAAATGAGTAACTATTGACTAACAACAAAAAGCGCGCGCACACACACAAAATTCACAGAAACTCCCTACCTTTTTTCCTAGCGTTCAGCCGGCGTCGTCTTTCAGGAAGGAACACGGGGCCTGAAGAAGCTTTGTTCGGCTCTCCCTCTTGCCACCGCCAGCTCACTGGCTCTCCGTAGACTGACCCGCGCTCAGGTGCCTCCAGTGAGGCCCCAACAACCCCTTTTATTGGCTCAGCCCATCTGCCTTCCAGGTTCCCTGCTAGCACCTGCAGGTGCACGTTGCTGCCGCCAAGGGGGCAGGTGTGGGAATGCAGCATTCTCTCGAGTACCTCGTGTATTATAAATACATTTTAAATTGTTTCTTTTATTAATTTTACACCATTTTAGCTTTTTAAAAATAGGAGGCCACAGGTTACACTCTTAACACTACCAATTGAGCCATCGGAACCATCTCTCCTTTGGACTCCCTGGTGGTAGAGAGCTTAGAATCAACTGGGGACCTTCCTAAGCGAACGCAAACAACACCGCATACCCAGAAACTTCCTGGTTTTGCTTCTGCTTGCATTGCTTCTGCCGTTCATTTTATGTTTTAAAAGTTTAGTCATTTATTTTCAAAGTCAGAGTTACAAAGTCAGAGTGGGCGATAGATTTTTCCATCTGCTGGTTCACTTCCTGATGGCTGCTGGGGCTGGCAAAGGCTAGGCTGAAGCCAGGCGCCAGAAGCCTCCTCTGGGTCTCCCACATGGGTGCAAGGGTCCAGAGAGAGAGAGAGAGAGAGAGAGAGAGAGAGAGAGAGAGAGAGAGAGAGAGAGAGAGAGAGAGAAGCGAGTGCTCCTACCATTGTCGTTCCCTTGCTTGATTTCCTCCGCTGTCCGGTCTATCAGGACGTACAAGGACCACACCACGCAGGTGATGGCGATGACGTGGAATGTGACCGAGCAGAATATTCTCCTCCTCTCACTCGTGGTCATCTGCAGTTTCTCCCACTGCAATCAGAAGCAAACCGCACAGCAGGCTGAGTTTCTCACTAGCACACCTCGCTCTTTTAATCCCATTTCCCCACGAACTCTGCAAAGTATCACCTTGCATGAACTTTCTGTGATGACCTGAACTATTTTTAATATCAGTAGTTCCCCCTTCATCTCCCCGTGTTTTCTTTCGAGGTTTTCTCAATGCATGGGATTTTCAACAAGTTTTGAAGAAGTTATTTGTGAATTTAGGGGGAAAAATTACTGAGTAAGATTATCCACTAGAGGGCGCAATGGTATCACACAAGAAGAAAATGCAGAAAAAAGGCGAGAATGTGTTTTATGTCTTTGTCACTAGGCATGTCCACAGCGGAACCACTGGAGCAACAGTTACTAACTGAGGTTCCTACTGCGTTCCAGACCCAGGCCTGGGGCAGCGCCCAGGAACCTGCCTGCTGGAACATTTCCAGGGATCTTCTTGGGTGCTGGAGCTTGGGAAGTGCGTCCCCAAGCAAGGCGAATTTCACACTGACCACAAGAGTGAGCCTGTTCCCCCGCCCTCCCGCACGCTGCAGCATCCCGCCACACATAACTTCTGTAATACTGTCGTTTCTTAAAGGTTTGCCTGAAACAGCTTCCTTACCAGTGTGTAACCCACAGCTGGCGGCCTGCGCTCCCAGGGGACGGCAGGGGACACTGAGCCGGCAGAGAGCCGACAGCACTGCGCGTGGACGTGGCCACTGATGGGCCGGGGTTTCAGGAACAAGGGGCTGCTCACGCCCCACGTGGCCGCATTCAGCCGGACAACATGTTCTCTGCCTGTTGGTCTGGCAGTTTTGAATTTGCTGTGCACTTGAACGTCCTGGCCTCCTGCGCAGAACGCCATCTATCCTCCTATCTCTCTGGAAGACACCTAGAACCATTCGCAAGCAATTTCCACAAGCCCTAACCTGCCCAGCACAAATGCTCAATTCCTACGCTGACTCACAGAGGCAGTGTACACGGCGTTTACGACCCCAGGTGGAGCGAACGCGGATCTAAGCCCAAACCCAGCGCCACTGTATGAAAACCGAGCCCCGACACACTCGGTCTCCCAGGGCCTCGGATTTCTGATCTGTGACCCCAACACCTGTTTCATGATTCTTGGGAGGACCAGGGGTGTGTGTCACACCAAGCCCACACACGGTGCTTGGCTCAAGCAATCAGTCAGCAAACGCTGGCTGGTGCTCAGGACCCCGAGACGACGCATGTTGCTGTAGAGTTTATTAATGATAACCCAGGAAGAAAAGTTTCCTGGGGGTTTCAGCGAGCTGAGGTCATGCACATTTGCCGAAGTATCTACATTTACGCTATGTTATCAATCGTTTGCTTGATCACGCTTTGCTCTCTGCCTTGGCTGCTCAAGGCTGAATCCTGATGAATTTCCCATCTTCCATGTGTGTGCGTCATGACTGCGCTCACTCTGCACATTTCCCTCACTCGGTTGCCTTAGCCCCTGCTGCGTGGCGCAGCCTTCGCCCACAGTGACGGAGTGCTTGCAAGTTCTGAAGGGTGCAAGAGGGCAGGGCTGAGCTGGGCAACGTGAAGCTTTTGTGGACTGACTGACGTTTGAATACCTGACCTGTCAAATCACAGTGATGGAAATAAAATAACGCCATTTCTTCAAGCGGCGGATATGATCATTTTTACTATTTTCTATGATTAATATTCTGTAGCTTATTGGAATAAGAATGGCAGCTTGAAGGAGCTGAGCTATGTTTTATATAATGAATGTGCAACATTAAAATGTTCTGAATCATGAAGACACATTGGGAAACTTCTTTGAAAGCGAGCTGAGTTCTCAAACCTCTGAGACACAGGCAATGGACTATGCCTACTCTTCATGCAGTCAACTTCCAAACAAAAATGTAAGGGGAAAGAAATGAGAAGTACCTGAAAAGCGACTAGGAGACGTGGAGCAGCAATACTCGGAGCGTGGGTAAGAACCACATTGGGGCCAGTGCTGCAGCAAGCAGGGCATCCAGCGCCCCAGACACTGCATGCCACCTGAGCTCCAGTCCAGGGCCTGGACGCCCTGCTTCCCATCCAGCACCTTGCTGATACGCTGCCCAAGGGGTCTGCCGTGCACGTGGGAGAGTCAGATGGAGTCCCTTGCTCCTGGCTTTGGCCTGGACCAGCCCCAACCATTATGACCATTTAGGGAATGAATTATTGGATGAAAAATCTCTCTCTATCCCCTCTCTCTGCTGATCTTTTAAGTCTCAAATAAACAAATGCATCTTTTTGTTCCAGGCCTAACAAATACATCTTTAAAGGTAGCCTGTCAGGTGCATTATCAGAAGCACGTTGTTAAGAATCCTGAGCAGGGGGCCTGGTGCGGTAGCGTAGTGGCTAAAGCAGATCACTATAGCTCCAGCCACTGCGGCGACTTGGGGAGTGAATCAATAGATGGAAGATCTTTCTTTCTGTCTCTCCTTCTCTCTGTATATTGGATTTTCCAATACTAATGACATAAATCTTAAAAATCCTCAGTAGGAATCGGTCACTAGTTCCTAGCTCAGGATGACCCTGCCAGCATGTAAATCATTCCTGACTCTCCTTCTTCCAGGTTTTTTTTTGAGGTTGGCCACTGCGCAGCCCAGATCTCTGGGGAAACTCTTCTACTTGGGATGCCAGCCTCTGACATTGAGAGTGAAGCCGTGTGGTACCTCAGCCGCTTGTGAAGGGACTCTACACGCATCATCGGGATGTGCAGTCCAACACGGGCTGGATGCCTCGCAGCGGGAGGATTCTACAGCAGGCAGTGCTGGTGCTCCCAGGATGCCTCGCAGCGGGAGGATTCTACAGCAGGCGGGTGTTGGTGCTCCCAGGAAACACACTGTCCCTCCAGCCATTTCAGCTTGCTACCCACGAGCAAGTCTTTGACTCCAGTCAATACACACAGAAATTAAGTCAAAGTTGCCAACACTGTTTTTGCGCCTTCCAGTGAAATGGGCCTTTGTGTTGCGAGCAGGCTCACGTCTCCAGGGAAGGCTGGGGCAGAATGTAAAGGCTGAGGGATTAGTTTAACTTCTATGTGTTAATAAGCGAGGATTTCCCGCTGTAAGAGCCGGGCGCCCGTGGGGGAGGGGTGCGCCCTGTGGTTGTGAGAGAGGATTGTGATTTAAGAGTTGCAACGCTGGAAATGGTTTTCTAGAGCAGCGTTGCCTTGACAACGTGGGTTGGTTGCATCAAGAAATTCATGGCAATACGGGACCTTCTGCCAGGGAGTCAGGATTGCAAACTACCCACCAAATTAGGTTAACAGCAAACCCAGGCCCAGAGCAAGGCCGTGGCGTCCCATCCACCTGCAGAGGTTATGCACACTTAGCCTGTGGGTTGAAACCAGCCTTCAGATCTGTTTTGATTTACTGGAATATTTAAAACTTTAGTTTTAGAATTTAATAGAATTAGTTTCTATTCTTCATGAAATTAGAAGGTTGAAGCTGGGCTTTTGCCTTCATTCCGTGGAGAAGTTGGGTTGGGAACAATGAATTGGAGCTGAGCGGCTGGCATCCCCCTTCGAGTGGGCAGCGCACTCCCCACCACTCCTTGCCGGGGCCCCAGGACCGCACCGCTGGCTCTCTGTAACCCTGCAACCAGACTGCATCGTCCTTTGCATTATCTTTGGTTATTATACGAAGCAAGCTGGCCGTGGGATGAACAGCTATCCATGGACACAGGTGGTAACTTTCCTCTGCCAACTTGGATGTAATTATCATCTTGTATATTTCTAGCCCTGGATCCATATACTCACTCAGCAACGTTTTTGTCTAAATGGTCTTGATTAAGTTGTTCTCCAAGGAAACTGAGAGGCAATTGCGAAATCAAATGTTTCTTCACTTAAAAATCCCCACACATTTCCCTTGATCTATAAGCTAATGGTTGGGATGATATTAACCTTGTCTGGAATTAACAGAACACTATCCCATGCAGATCTATTCCAAGTTCATCTAGTATGAGGAAGTCATTTTCAAACTCTCTGCCTTCTTACCCGATCCGAAGGGAACTCTGAGGGCAGAGTTTTGACTGCTTATCACTACACCAGTGCCAGCGGCAGTAACTGGTGCACAGTAGGTACTAAGTACTTGCTGAGTGAACAAATAAAGCTGGTCAGAGATGGAGCCCCTGACAGTCCTCCAGACACGACTGGCTGCTCATTTGGTCTTCCTACAGCAGCTCATCCGACTGTTGAGGGAACCCTTTCCCAGATGCAGAAAAGAATTCCAACTCACGCCTACAGTCTCAGGATACACTTACATAGCAGAGTGGTGGACTTGTGATTATTCCATTATTGTGAAGAATTATGCTGTGTCAGAATACAGGGGAAGCCAGTGAGAGCAGGGGGAAATGGGCAGGGTGAGAAAACCCCTGCGCCTATGGAACTCTATCATAAAAAATAAGAAAGAGGAAAAAAAACCCTTCAATTGCATCAAAAACTCAATCTACACTACAGACAGCATCACTTCAGAGAAAACAGACGCAACAGGACTGCATGGCTTAGACCTTCCACCTGCACTAGTTTATCTCCTCCGTGCCTAGCGGCAATGGCTTTCAGCACGTCCCACCGCGTATCTCAGGGTCGGAAGGCTTTCGCGTGTGTTTGGGGTGGCTGAACAGCTTTGCTCTAAGGAATCAGTTGAAATGGCTTTCCTTGAGCTTTTAACCACCAGCCTGCATCAAGGTAGCCTGGACACACATGATTTGCTTTGGAAGGGCAATGAGAAAGCTGGAGAGAGGACACGAGTGCTTCGTTAGCAGTCGGGCCTACGCCTGCATCCTATTCCAGCACCCTGTGTTGTGCGCAGTCTAAGCTGTGGTAGACACAGCATTTCCAGGGTCTGGGGCCTTGGCACAGGGGCTTGGCACAGCTGCCCCAGAAAACCATCACCTCCCATGGCAGCACTAGCTGAAGTCCCGGTTGTTCCCCTGCCAATCCGACTCTCTGTTAACAGATCAGGGGAAAGCAGAAGAAGATG